CCATCCATCCCGAACTTGACCCATCTTTCTAGGTAATCCTTCAGGTGATACAGCAGAATTTTGTGACAGACAAACAGACAGACAATCAGATACACCAAATCTGTGGTTTATGCATAGCAAGGACTGTATGTATGCTGTAAAAATAGTTGTTAAGGGTTCAATCACCCAAGGTTGAGGTATACCGCGAACTAGAAGATCGTATATACAGCAAGATTAACTTCAACTTGAAAGCGGCAGCTGTTTCTTTTCAGCAGTTTGTACGGGAATGAAATCCAACTAGCAGTAGGGAAAATGAAAATTAGGAAAGCGATTCGTCCAGGTGGGGTACAGTTTGAGCGCTGGAGGGTGCTCAAGTGCCCGCTGGCCCACTCAAGTTTTACAATCTGCTGAGAGAAGAATGCCAGGTGCGTGGTCCAACAGTGCAATCATTTCCTCTCCGAGTAGGTGCGATGGATTGCTTCAGCAACCGCGGGATCAGACCGCATGCCATAAACTTATACGAACGGCTAGCCGACTCAAATTTTAAAAAAATTTGTGTTCATCTCTCCCAAAGTCCACATCTTTATAACAAGGCAAGTATTGCAGAGATATCAGGAAAGGCGTAGACCGTGCTAGCTGGCCTTTGTAGCCCTAAATCTATAGATGGCGTTTGGCTAATCACTCTCCAGAAAATAAGCTCGAGAACGATTTGTTCAGAAATCTGATATTCCTGGTCAAAGATGTGTATGACTGGAACAAAGGAAGCAGTGGAGTTCAAAATAAAAGATAGGCTAGAAAATAAGAAGATGGAATAAAGCGATAATTGACACAGTTAACGCTAGGGGAAAAGGAGGAACTGACAAGTTCTAGTAGTTTCTCTACATATTTTCAAAAAAGCTGATAGAGCTCAGCGCAACCTTGATCAACAAGAATATCAACATTTTGCTAACGTCGTTCTATAGATAATGGTAGGTGATCGAGAATGGCAGTTAGACGTGCTGGTCGAAGAGGTCGTCAGAAGGGGCGTTCTTCGAAGTTAACCACTGAATCTAATGCCATATTCTCTGCCTCGAGCATTCATTGCAACAACCTTCAACCTGAAACGGATAAGTTGACCATTAATCGGAGCCGGTGTAGGATCCCCTGCACCGCGCCAAAACTTCCCCTAACCATGGCATCTTCTTCCGCTGAGTTTGTCGAGGAAGTCCTTCTAGATCCAACTCTCCGAATAAACGAGATCAAATCCTCATAGTGAGCGGAAAGTGCATCGAGTTGGGCAGGGGTATGAATGAACACCAATAACTCTGCTTAAAACCTCCAGTGCTCGAAAAAAAAGTGGAAGAAGGTTATCGATGTGGTTATCCTCACTATATATAT